CACTTCTCACCAGCTTGAAAAAGCCACTCGCCTTCCCTCCATGGTCCCCTGCCACTGCTGGAAGGGTGGGGCACGCGAGGGTTGTGAGAGACTCCCTAACTAATGAGAAAATCATGCATAGAGCTGTGCCAAACTTCATTTCTCCCCCAAAGTCAATTGCTCCTGCCACCCTCTTCCTCAAAATCAGTTACTGCCCCTTGCGCATTGTGTGTGCCCTGTTCCTGCCCCCGATGCTGCTGCTCTGGGTCAGGATGGGGGGCTGTGGTGCCTCCTGGAGTAGCTAGGATTGTGAGACGCTACCACCTACCTCCAGCTTCCTGACACTCTCAGCTGGAGGCAACACTGCCCTCCAGGCCTGGCACGCCCTGATGTCACTCCGCAGGTGAGCGACAGGCCCTTTGGGCATCTCCCTGGAGAACCCAGCCCCTGCTCCACTGGGCACTCGCAGTGTTCACTGGGCTGCTGCTACCAAAGACGCAGTACCCCGCAGCTTACCAGTTCCACCTCAGATCACCGCTCCACTTAACTCACAGCACTTAGATATGTTTATAGTGACAAAAGGTGTCAGTTTATTTAACAAAGCACAGAACTTCAAGTGTAACCCACACACCTCCTGGGGGTGGTGGTCTGTCCCATCTTGTGGCACGAGACCACTTAGAGAGAGAGATAAAATGAGTCTGCTCTACAGCCTTAGCTAACAGCCAGTTGGCTTTTAGCTCACGTAGAGGCTCATGCACTAAGCTCCATCGATCTCCGGTTCGATCCCACCTGCCAGCGACAGGGGTCTGTCAGCATTACACAAGCAATAGCAAGTAGAAGGATTGGAAACAAATGGCTATTTATGAAACAAAACAATGACACTCATTCCAGAAACTAGACTTAAGTAGCTGGATACTCTCATGTCGTAAGCTATTGCTCCCTGCAGTGCTTCATAGTCAGGCTGGCTGGGACCCTTCTTTCGTGAGACAAGCCTGCTGTCAGTTTGCCTCCTAGGTAAAGGACTCCATGTGTCTTTGCGCTCTGAGATATACCACAACAACGCATTGTCTTTATTCATAAACAGGACAGCCCTGCCCCTGCTGTCTGTTCCCTCTCATGTAGTTTTCACAATCACTCGATTCGCACCTGGCTCTGTATGCCAAGAGACATACAGTGTGAGGCATACAATACATAATAAGGCCGGACAGCGAGATAGGTGTCTGTTGCCTCCTGCCTGAAAGGATCATCTCTGAGGTATGTCAGCTCCTGCATGACATGCCTAAATTACTAGACCTTAAGAGCATAATTTTCAGTGCAGATACATCTCTACAGCCATTTAATATTATCCATACAGACTCTTCAGAACAATTATTTATGATGACCACTGGGCTCTTGCGTCTAGGCATGCATCTCGCATGCTTCCCTTTGGCAAACTATTTTGCAGATATCTGACCCAGGGGATCCCTGTAAAATCCTATGCATGCCCTGTGCCCTCTGCCAGTTGTCCCCAAGTGGCCCCTGGGTCACTCTGACACAGAGGAAGATGCAGGAATCTTGAGTCCTCCATGCCCTTATTCCTGGACAGGAAGAGCAGGAACAGGAAGGGCAGGAGAGAAGCCCTGGGGAAGGACCGAGGTTCAGGCAGAGGGTGGGGGGAAGGTACTGTTGATGGCCAAGTGTTCAGGGCAGCCCTGCCAGAAGTGGCAATGTGCATCCCCTGCAGAAGGGGTATCTTCAGCTGGCTCCCTGTACAGTTCATAGGTTCATGGATTCCAAGGCCAGCAGGGACCATCTAGTCCAGGGGTCGGCAACCTTTCAGAAGCAGAGTGCCGAGTCTTCATTTATTCACTTTAATTTAAGGTTTTGCGTGCCAGGAATACATTTTAACGTTTTTTAGAAGGTCTATCTCTATAAGTCTGTATATTATATAACTAAACTATTGTCGTATGTAAAGTAAACAAGGGTTTCAAAATGTTTAAGAAGCTTCATTTAAAATTAAATTAAAATGCTCTTCTTACGCCGCTGGCCTGCTCAGCCCGCTGCCAGCCTGGGCTTGCGTTCACCTGGGATGGCAGCAGGCTGAGCGGGGCCTGCGACCAGGACCCAGACTGGCAGCGGGCTGCACAGCTCAGCCCACTGCCACTCAGCCCGCTGCCGGTCTGGGGTTCCATCTGCCGGCCCCGCTCAGCCCGCTGCCGGTCTGGGGTCCCGGCCCACATAGAGCGGGTACCTACCTTCTCCCTGGTTCTAGCCCATTCTCTTCCTCTCTTTCTGCTCTGAGCTGAGGGTGGGAGTGCACTGAGCACAGGGCTGGGGGTTGGGGTGTAGGGTCTGGCCAGGAGCTAGAATGAAGGAGGGGGCTCAGGGTTGGCGCAGGAGGCTTGGGGATGGAGTGCTTACCTGGGCAGCTCCCATTTGGTGCGAGGGGTGGGGGTGGGAATGTGGGGGGGGGGTGCAGGAGCTCCCGTTTGGTGCTCAGGGTGGGGGTGGGAATGTGGGGGGTGCAAGAGTCAGGGCATGGTCTTTGGGGGGGCTGGGTATGTGTGTGGGGGTGCAGTAGTCAGGGCAGGGGGCTGGGCGTGTGTGAGGAGGGTGCAGGAGTCAGGGCAGAGGGCTGGGGGCATGTGAGGGGGTGCAGGAGTTGGCAAAAGCTGTGGGGGGCTGGGTATGTGTAGGGGGGCTGGAGTCAGGGCTGGGGTGTGTGAGGGGGTTCAGGGTGCAGGGGCCAGGGCAGAGGGCTGGGGGTATGTGTGAGGGGGGTGCAGGGATCAGGGCAGAGGGCTGGGGGTGTGTGAGGGGGGTGCAGGGGTCAGGGCAGAGGGCTGGGGGTGTGGGCTGGAGTCATGGGAGTGCTCCCAGCCCAGAGTGGCTCATGACAGGGGGCTGGAGAGGATATGCCCTGATTCCACCCCCCATCCCCACAGCCCCATCCCCACCTCTTCTCGGCCTCCTCCCATGAGCAGGGCTGCTCTGGCTCTGCTTCTCCCCCTCCCTTGCAGTGGCCATCAGCAGGTTGGATCCAGGGAGGGAGAAGGGGAGGGGCAGGACCCAGCAGGCTGGGGGAAGAGGTGGGGGAGGGGGGGCTTTGCCTGCCCTGCAGCAGCGGCTGGCAGGACCAAGCTTCTTCACCCTGCCCCGGGGAAGGGGGGGGGGCGGAGAAGAGCGCGCCAGGGAGGGCAGGATTTTTAATGGCTCGCTGCTGCCTGCCAGGGTCCCGGCCTGGGTTCGGCAGCGGGCGGAACGGGGCCGGCGGCCGGGACCTGGCAAGCAGCAGCATGCCATTAAAAATTGGCTCCCGTGCCATCTTTGGCTCGTGTGCCATAGGTTGCCGACCCCTGATCTAGTCTGACCCCCTGCATAACATGGCCCAACTACCCCCAAACAAGTCCCAGAGCAGATCTTTTAGAAAAACATCCCATCTTGATTTCAATATTGTCAGTGATGGAGAATCCACCATGACCCTTGGTAAATTGTTCCAGTGGTTAATTATTCTTTCAGTAAAAAATGTCTGCCTTCTTTGCAGCCTGAATTTCTCTTGCTTTAACTTCCAGCCATCAGATCATGTTACACCTTTGTCTGCTAAACTGACCAATCTATAAGTAAATGTTTGTACCCATGTAGGTACCTATAGACTGAGACAAAGTCCCCCTTTAGGCTTCTCTTTGTTAAGATAAATAAATTGAGCTCTTTGAGTCTATCGCTATCACCATGAGGCATGTTTTCTCTCTTAATCATTCTCGTGGCTCTTCTCTGAACCAGCTCTAATTTATCAACATCTTTCTTGAGTCGTGGGCACCAGAACTGGACACAGGATTCCAGCAGCGGTCGCACCAGTGCCAAATACAGAGGTAAAATAACTTTATTCCTGCTCAAGATTCCACTATTTATGTGTCCCAGGATTGCGTTAGATCTTTTGGCCACAGTATCACCCTGGGAGCTCATGTTCAGCTGATTATCCTCCCCCCCAAAGCATTTCCTATGTCACTGCTTCCCAGGATAGAATCCCCTATCCTGTAAAGGTGACTGGTCGTCTTTGTTCCTAGATGTATCCATTTACATTTGAAAACACATGTTGTGGGCTTGTGCGAGTGTACTCGGTGATCCAGATTGCTCTGTGTCAGTGGCCCGTCTTCGTTATTTACCACTCCCCAAGTTTTGTGTCATCTGCAAACTTTCCCAGTGATGATTTTATGTTTTCCTTCTGGTCCTTGATAAAAAATGTTAAATAATGAAGGGCCAAGAACTGGTCCCTGCAGGACCCCACTAGAAACACACCCACTCAATGCTGCTATCGCATTTACAGTTACCTTTTGAGGCCAAGCAGTTAGCCAGCTTTTAGTCCAGTTAATATGTGCCATTACTCTAGTTTGTTAATCAGAATGTTCTGGGGTGCCAAGTGCTGCCCGCCAGGGCAGTGGTGGGCAGAGGGGTCAGCCATATCCTCTAGGGCAATGGGGTGAGTTGGGATTGGACAGAGGGGCTCAGCCTTAACCCCCTCCTCCCACACTTGACAGAGGGAGAGGTGCAATTACCTTTCCTTACCTCCTCACTCCCTGAAGGGGAAAGGATCCTGCCCATTGACCCCTTTGCACATGGGGCAGGGGGCCTGAAGTCTGGCCTGGAGAAAATCCTTTTCTCAGAATATGTATGGGAGTCACCCTACCCCCGTATGGGCTATCTCCAGAGGGAACCCCTGTCTGTTGGGGATGGGGCTTTCTAGAGCTTTCCTGGCTAAGGACGGGAGCCAGCTGTGCCATCCTGGCAGAAGGGGAGGAGGGGTACTTCCACCTGGTGATGAGGTGCCCCATTGGATGGGGGGGTAGTGACCCACTGAGTAGCCCCCCAAAATAAGATGGGAGCAGGGGCTGTCTGATCTTTATATTTATATCTTGATTTAGCAAAGCTTTTGATATGAAAAAAACAATGAGGATTCCTTGTGGCACCTTAGAGACTAACAAATTTATTTGGGCATAAGCTTCTGTGGGCTAAAACCCACTTCATCAGATGCATGGAGTGGAAAATACAGTAGCAGGTATATATATATATATATACATAATACATGAAAAGATAGGAGTTGCTTTACCAAGTGGGGGGTCAGTCTAACGAGACAATTCAATTAACAATATCATACCCAGGGAGGAAAAATCACTTTTGTAGTGGTAATGAGGGTGGCCCATTTCAAACAGTTGACAAGAAAGTGTGAGTAACAGTATGAGGAAATTAGTTTTTGCAATGACCCATCCACTCTCAGTCTTTATTCAGGCCTAATTTGATGGTGTCCAGTTTGCAAATTAATTCCAGTTGATAGGGTCTCCCACGGTCAGCAAGTTAAAAAAGTATGGATTGGATGAATGGATTACAGTAACTCTTTGCTTAATGTTGTAGTTATGTTCCTGAAAAATGGTACTTTAAGCTAAACGGTGTTAAGCAAATCTGATTTCCCCATAGGAATTAATGTAAATATGCGGGGTTAGGTTCCAGGGAAATTTTTTTTGCCAGACAAAAGACTGTATTTTATACACACACACACACACACACAGAGCATAAGTTTTAAACAATTTAGTACTGTACACAGCAATGATGATTGTGAAGCTTGGTTGAGGCGGTGAAGTCAGAGGGTGGAAGAGGGTGGGATATTTCCCAAGTGTTGCCTTCCTGCTAAATGATGAACTAACACTCGGCTGAGCCCTCAAGGATTAACTCATTGTAGTTAATGTAGCCTCGCACTCTACAAGGCAGCATGGATGGAGGGAGGGGAGACGGCGTGGCAGAGAGATGGATCACTCGGTAATTGCCTGTTCTGTTCATTCCCTCTGAAGCACCTGGCATTCGCCACTGTTGGAAGACAGGACACTGGGTTAGATGGACCTTTGGTCTGTCCCAGCATGGCCGTTCTTATATAGCTGACTCTGGTGAGGTGAGCAAACTTTCTGCAACCCATGTTGTTGGCAGGAGTGTGGGAGGAAACGGGCATATGCAACCAACAGGAAGCTACTTGCCTGTGGACCATCGTCACTCTGTGTCTACACTGCAATCACTGGGTGTGGCTGCAGCTCAAGCAGACACACCTAAGCTAGCTTCCGTCCAGGGCTCTCAGGTCCCAGACCAGTGAAGACATGGCAGTGAGATCTTCAGGGCAGACTAGCCCCACGAATAATTACCAGAATTCCAGGTGGGCTTAGACCACCTGTGCTGAAACTTGCACTGCTGCAGCCTCATTGGTCCAGGCCCCGAGCTGGCCGGAGTAAAGCTGGCCTGGTACGTCAGCACACGCTGCAGTCGCACACGGCGGCTGCAGTAAAGACACACGGTAAGTTCCGCATTCGGTGGCTTCTCGAGGTTTTGTATTCAGGAAAGAAGTGTGCTTTGCCTAAGACTCCTGGCTAGTGTGTCAGACTTGCTGAGCCAAAACCTAAACTTAGGGCCTCAAAGGAACCAATTGCTAGGCCTCGGCTAATGGACAGAAAAGGTCCTTGGCTGTGTTCAGCAGGCTCACTACCTGGACGTCTGCACAGTGGGGTGACAAGTTTGCAGCTCAGAAAGAGGCTTGATTTGCTATATGAGCGGTTGACACATTATAAGCCTGTTTTCTCCTTTGAAAACAGAATCAGCTGTCTAAAAGTTGCTCTTCCTTGTGCTCTCTGTTCAATGCTCACCTTTTATTGTGTAATCTCCCTTAAAAGGCTCCATTGCTCCCCTTCCACACCAAATATAAAAGGAAAAACAACCTTGTGTCTAACTTGCAATGTTTCCCAGGGTATGTTAATAACAATAACTTCAGAGGGAGCTGCTCCATAGAGAATTGATTGGGTCGCTGCTCCCTTTCATTTTAACTCTCCTTGTAGGCATCCCATAAATCACCAGGAATTCAAATCTCATCACAGGGCAGCTGGCTGGTCTGGGATTGGATGTCTGGCTATGGTATGCGGAAGGTGGAATTGGTGTAAGATGCTGGTAATTTGCCATTACTACCCTAATGAAATATTTAATCAGATTAATCAATGCACATTTGTTAATCATTGTGTTCATCAGACTTGGATCTGATCCCATGGCTGTTCAGGCCCGTTCATAATGTGGTACGGAAAACCTGATCTATTTATCTGGGGCATTTCTTCCGTTATGTCCCAATTACAATAGATACACTGTAAAATTCAGAATTCAGTGATCAGTTTCGATGGATACGCCAGCACAACAAAATTGGCTGGAAAAAATGGGTGTGTGATTAGATATTAATCAAGACATTCCATTCATTTTTGCATTAGAAGCCCCTAGCTCTGTTCCTGTAATGACTTCTAATCAGAGCACCTACTTGAGCATTCAGAGTCTAATTCTCATAAATAGTGTATGACGGTATTAGAAATAGAAGGTGAAGTCATCTCACACCAGAGAGTACCAGGGAAGAGTGGAGGTGGGCTCAGCTGTGTGTAACATGGGCACAACAATATTTCCAAAGGAGTATTTTGTCCTTTCCCAGACCTGGGGTGTAGGCAATGCCCACAGCAATGCAGCTGTTACTAAAGTGAGAATCTGCTTCCTTCAGCCCAGTCCAACAGCACCACATCCACTCCTACAATGCAGCTTTCCTTGGGTACCAGTTTTGGCCGGACTCGCACCTTTCAATCCCACTGATATCTGGGGGATTGCATGGGGTGTAGGTATGGGTAAAACTAAACAAAATCGTGTATTTGATTGGCTATGTAATTTGATTTCCTATTTAAAACATCAAATCGACAAGAACTTTTATACTACATCTGTTTAAAACATCCTTCTTTGGATAACATTTCACAGTTGGTATAGTTGGCTATGCAGCTCTTCCACAGCACGAATGTAAATACTACATTAGCCACGTGAACTGGAAGGGTAATTTACAGGACTATCTGTTTTGATGCTGAAATATGTAGCATATTAGTGTCTCTGATTTCTTGTTATTTGTTAGTGGTTTTTGCTTTCTGATAAGCATTAGGGATCTGGTGTCATACAGAATCTGTTTTACTTTGATTAAATCCTTCTGGAAATGATTGTATACACAATATTCAAATGTTTGCTTTTTGTTAGCAAGCACCCACAGTGCATTGCACATACAGAGTCTGAAAGTCTCGGAGGTCAACAAATCCGTATACACTTTGTTCATCTGCCTTTTTATTTGCAAAAACCATGCTGAGCCGGTCATCCCCATGCAATGTCGAACTGCTGATAAATATTCATTGGAAATAAGGCAGGTCTTTTAAAACATAAATGTATTTAATTCCGCTGGCTGCAATTTTATGGGTTATGTAACCCTGGGATTTCTGTTAAGTGGAACCAGATCAATACCCTGTCTCAAAGAGGTGTAATGGAGATTACCTTGAGACCATCTAGCTTCTGTAATGTCAAACTGCATCTTAAACACAGGTCACGTTGCTTTCATCGGAGTTCTTCCCTCACATGTATATTCTTATCATCTGGGGCCAAGGTGTGATTAGCCTTGCACAGGAAGGGACAGGCATTCAGAGGCAATTGCATTAGCAGTCACTGCTTGCCTCTTGCTTTCACTAGGGAGCAGATTGCCTGAAAGGGGTCAGAATGGAGCCATGAGACCCCCCACCTCCTTAGCTGCTGCACTGGTCCATGGAGTGGGGCCAGTTTACCTTATTTATCAGTCTTTGAATGGCCCCCATTACCTGAGCACTTCATCAGGATTCCATGAGGAAGGGCAGGGCTGTTAACTCAATTGCACAAGGGGGAACTGAGGTACAGGGAGGTTAAGCAATTTGCCCAAGGTCACACAGGGACACTGTAGCAGTGCAACAAACTTAATCCAGACCTCCTGGTTCCCGGGTCAGTGCTCTGTCCTTCCACTGTGTGATGCAGTCTCTGCCATTCTGCTGGATGGCGCTAAGCATGCCAACTGAGCTGTCCCAGGACCCAAGTCCTCAAAAGTATTTCACTGGTGTTAGTGGGAGGTAGGCTCCTAAATACCCTGGCCCCCAGTGCCTCTGGAAGGGCTTGTGTGGGTCCACCCTGCTCCCTACAAAAGCCGTGTGCCACCGGCACAGCCCAGCCAGGGCACTCAGCCACCCGCTGTATGTGTATCCTCATTGTTTTGAATCCAGGTGATCTGCAGATGCATTCTAAATGACCATTGTAGGCAGTGTCTTCGCTGGTATGTTCAGAATTGATTTTCATGGTTAATTTTATCGCGGCATGTCACAGAGAGGCGTATGTAGTATACACCTGCTGTTACTGCTTTCACGGCAGCTAGTAACTTGAAGTTTTACTGTACATTATATTACACCCTACGCAGTCATTAACATCCTCTGGCTAATCTAAACTGCGCTTAAACCATGGATGAATGAATATATTTTTCAAAGATAAGCCTAGAGCAAATGAGTTGGATTTATTTTTAATACTGACTTATTCCTGATGCCCAGTGACACATGAGCAATCTAGTCTAAGTAGATGTCCTTGTTTCGCTGGAGGATAATAATTTGCAGTGTAATATTGCTACATTTAGTCCTGTTTCCAGCAGTCTTAGATCAGATACCATGGTGATGGGCATGGAATAAAAATCACCATAGAATACAACAGATCCTACAATTCTGGGGGAGCTTAGAAAACAAATAACAGGGTTCTCCACTACCGTTTGTTCATGATTTATCTCCTCTCGTTGTTACCTTCCCACACTGTGGTCCCTCATTCCTAATAGGTTTTTAAGAACAGATTAGACAGGGATGGTCTAGGTTTACTTGATTCTGCGTCAGTTCAGGGGGCTGGACTAGATACTCTCTCAATCATAGAATCATAGAATCATAGAATATAAGGGTTGGAAGGGACCCCAGAAGGTCATCTAGTCCAACCCCCTGCTCGAAGCAGGACCAATTCCCAGTTAAATCATCCCAGCCAGGGCTTTGTCAAGCCTGACCTTAAAAACCTCTAAGGAAGGAGATTCTACCACCTCCCTAAGTAACGCATTCCAGTGTTTCACCACCCTCTTAGTGAAAAAGTTTTTCCTAATATCCAATCTAAACCTCCCCCACTGCAGCTTGAGACCATTACTCCTCGTTCTGTCATCTGATACCATTGAGAACAGTCTAGAGCCATCCTCTTTGGAACCCCCTTTCAGGTAGTTGAAAGCAGCTATCAAATCCCCCCTCATTCTTCTCTTCTGCAGGCTAAACAATCCCAGCTCCCTCAGCCTCTCCTCATAACTCATGTGTTCCAGACCCCTAATCATTTTTGTTGCCCTTCGCTGGACTCTCTCCAATTTATTCACATCCTTCTTGAAGTGTGGGGCCCAAAACTGGACACAGTACTCCAGATGAGGCCTCACCAATGTCGAATAGAGGGGAACGATCATGTCCCTCGATCTGCTCGCTATGCCCCTACTTATACATCCCAAAATGCCATTGGCCTTCTTGGCAACAAGGGCACACTGCTGACTCATATCCAGCTTCTCGTCCACTGTCACCCCTAGGTCCTTTTCCGCAGAACTGCTGCCTAGCCATTCGGTCCCTAGTCTGTAGCTGTGCATTGGGTTCTTCCGTCCTAAGTGCAGGACCCTGCACTTATCCTTATTGAACCTCATCAGATTTCTTTTGGCCCAATCCTCCAATTTGTCTAGGTCCTTCTGTATCCTATCCCTTCCCTCCAGCGTATCTACCACTCCTCCCAGTTTAGTATCATCCGCAAATTTGCTGAGAGTGCAATCCACACCATCCTCCAGATCATTTATGAAGATATTGAACAAAACCGGCCCCAGGACCGACCCTTGGGGCACTCCACTTGATACCAGCTGCCAACTAGACATGGAGCCATTGATAACTACCCGTTGAGCCCGACAATCTAGCCAGCTTTCT